GAACAGATAAACAAATATACAGGTAAACAGATAAACAAACAGGTAAACAGAAAAACCAACAGATAAGCACATGAACAGATAAACAAATATACAGGTAAACAGATAAACAAACAGGTAAACAGAAAAAGAGGCAAACAAATATAGAGGTAAACAGATAAACAAACAAATAGACAAACAAATAAACAAACAAACAAACCCAGCGTTTGCTTTTATACAGCAGGTTCTATAAAATGAAGACACTTTAAAAAAATTAAAGATAAAAATAAATAAATCAAACAGATCTTTTTTTTCTTCCTGCTGGAATAAAACCTTCAGTTCTGCTCTTGTGCTTGGACCTGCACCTGGACCTGCACCTGCACCTGGACCTGCACCTGGACCTGGACCTGGACCTGCACCTGGACCTGGACCTGCACCTGGACCTGCACCAGGACCTGCACCTGGACCTGCACCTGGACCTGGACCTGCACCTGGACCTGCACCTGCCGCAGAAGTTTGACTGACCGGAAATGCAGGACTCCACTGAGTCCAGCAGGGGGCGCCATCCGATTAGAACTGAACCAGAAGCAGAGCTGGAAGAGCCCAGGGGTCAAAGGTCACAGGTTGGGCTCCTTCTTTGTTATTGTTAAAGTAATAAAGTATTAAAAATCATTAATAACTTACACTTTTCTCATTTATTTCTAATGAAGACATTTATCAAAACAAACATTTACTTGTTTTAATTAATTTTTTCAAAATAAAAGTTAAATGAAGAGTCAGGTCTCTCTTGTAAATGAGTCCCCGTGGCTCAATGGGATTAACCTGTATAAATAAAGGTTGAACGACTGAAAATCAGCGGATTATTTCTCTGCTGAATCATAAAATAACAAGCTGTAATTTTGTTTTCTTTGAGTAAAAACAGCTTCAGAGAATAAAATAATTACATTTAGATTTTTTCATAAAAAATAAAAATAAACTAAAATGTTAAAAACGTTATTTTATTATTTTAAAGTCAAAATATGAATAAAAATTGAACATTTTTCAAACTTTTTTTTTTGTTTTTAACAATTTAAATGTTTTACTTCAGTCTGACAATGGAAAAACAATTTATTTTGTAAACACTCAACCCCAGTACGGGTTATTCTTTGTTATTTTTATATTTATCAGTGTTTATTTTATTATTTGCTATTTGTAATAATTACTGAGGGAAAAATGAACATTTTAATTTGGATGTTTTTGTTTGAAACTATTCAATTTAAAAAAACAACATTTTTTTCTGGTGTGATGCAGATGATTTGTAGAAGATTTATACGCCATTTTCAGTTGATATTTAGCCGATTATCAGGTGGTTGTCAGCTCATATGTACTGTAGCTGATAATCAGGTGACTTTCAGCAAATTATCAAGTGAATTTCAGCTGATACAGCTGATTATCAGGTGATTTTTGGCTGATATGTACATTATTAACAGGTGATTTTCAGCTGATAAGTGAGTTTAAGCTGATATTTAGCTGATCCTCAGGTGAATTTCAGCAGATTATTAAGTGAGGTTCAGCTAATATTTAGTGGATTATCAGGTGATTTACAGATGATATTTAGCTGATTATCAGATGATTTTCAGCTGATATTCAGGTGAGTTTCAGTTGATATTCAGCTGATTATCAGGTGACGTTCAGCTGATGTTTAAGTGATTATCAGGTCTCTTACAGCTGATGTTTAGTCAATTATCAGGTGATTTTTAGGTAATATTTAGCTGATTATCAGGTTATTTTCAGCATATTCAACTGATCATCAGGTGATTTTCAGCTGATATTTAGTTAATTATTAGGTGCTTTTCAGCAAATATTCAACTGATAAACAGGTGAGTTTAATGTGATATTTAGCCGATCATCTGGTGAGTTTCAGCTGATATTCAGCTGATAATCAGGAAAGTTTCAGCTGATATTTAGTTGATCATCAGATGAGTTTCAGCTGATATTTAGCTGATTATCAGGTGATTTTAAGCTGGTCTTTGGTCAGATCTTTGTCACTGCCATCTGAAGCCCTCTGGGAGTAAAAACCACGAGTGGATTAAAATCAAACAGGAGCTCCGAGTCTTATTAAACATCTGAGTTTGTACCTAAAGTCTAACGGCTAACGCTGATTAACATCCTCGTTAAGCATCTCGTTATCTCTCCAGCTATAGAAATAAAAACAGAGTCTTCTGCAGGCAGAAACATTTAGGAGGTAACGAGCTGCAGTTTCATAAAACATGAAACAAAAAATACACGGCTGCATCACTGAAGATTAAATATAAAAACATAAGCAGGTCCGACTTCACGGGTACCAAGAAGGCTTCATCGGAACCACAAACACGCCAATCAGGTCCAGAAAAACAGAACTGAAAACTCTTCCAGATGTTCAGGAAGATCCAGCTTTTATTCCAATGATCAGCTGAAAACAGCAGTTAGCTTTTCATCTGCTGGGAAAAAACTTCAGCTTCTTTAAATTTACCAGTTTTAAAAGCTACATTAGAACATCCAGAACATCCAGGAGCGTCCTCCGGGAGCGTCCTCCGGGAGCGTCCTCCGGGAGCGTCCTCCGGGAGCGTCCTCCGGGAGCGTCCTCCGGGAGCGTCCTCCGGGAGCGTCCTCCGGGAGCGTCGTCCGGGAGCGTCCTCCGGGAGCGCCCTAAAGGGCCACCCTGCAGGGGCGTCCTGCAGGAGTGTCCAGCAGGAGCGTCCTAGAGGACAGCAGGATGTCTTTGATGAATGGACCCATTTACTGGGGGCTGCAGACTTTCAGCAGCTTCAAAGATGAAGCGTTGCTTCTCCACCTGAGGGCTAGTTTGTCCCTCGAGATGGCACTTCAAAACTTGTTTCAGAACTTATCTGACTGACACACCTGAGGCCTGAGGATCTCAGAACTGGACTGGATCCACAGGCGGGTCCTGGGCCAATCCAAGACCAGTCGAGTTGATCCAACCCGCCTTTAAATCTGACTCAACTTGGTTTTAGGTCCAGTTTTTAAACCAGGTTTATGAGGTCCTGAGATGTCCAACATCGGACAAAGGACAGGGAGGACTGAAGACGGATGGCATCTGGGTGGAGGCCAGGAGGACAGAAAGACAGAGGAACAGACAAACATCTCAGTCATCCTGTGAAGACAACCAGCAGTTCGTGTTTACTATAGAAGCAGTGCGGACGTGGAAACACAACAGCTTCTGTTTAAATTTGTAACTCTACGCTGAAGCCGGTGACACGGTGGAGCAGCTGGTAGAGCTGCCGCCTCTCAGCGGGAAGATTGCGGATCGTATCCCAGCCAGGGATCTTTCTGGGTGGAGTTTGCATGTTCTCTCCGTGCTGCGTGAATTTTCTCCAGGTACTCGTTTCCTCCCACAGACCAACATGCATGTTAGGATGATTGGTAACTCTGGATTGTCCTTCGGTGTGAGTGAGAGAGTGAATGTTTGTCTCGTTTGTCTCTATGTGTCCCCGTGATGGACTGGAGACCTGTCCAGAGTGTCCCCACCTCTTGCACAGTGACTGCTGGATATGGGCGCCAGTGACCCCCACGACCCAAAAATAAAGAAGCGGGTAAAGATGATGGAT